GACAGGGTCTCACTCTTGCTCAGGCTGGTCTCGAACTCCTGACCTTGAGTGATCCACCCACCTCGGCCTCCCAGAGTGCTAGGATTACAGGCGTGAGCCACCGCGCCTGGCCCATCTATTCTTATTAGTTCAATTACAACAGTCTGCAAACAGCCTTCCAAAGCTATCATCCAGCTCCGACTTTTCTCCTTAGTTCAGCCCAACATTTCCAATTACCAATTTCACAGGTTCACACATACCTGAAACTCAGCATGACTAAAACTAAACTATCTCTTCCCCAAATCAGTTCTTTCCCTCCCTTACTCAGACTATTTCCCCCTGCAATATCACCAACTCTAGCCCACACTGAGCCCCATTTCAATCTGTATTTTATAGAACTCTCTTGGTAACTCTTAGTCCACTTCTAGTTTCAGTGTATACTGAAAAGCATATGAAAATATCTAGAATTCAGCTGCAAAGATAACATAGAGGTCTGATCCTTACCTCATGTTACAAGAGTAAATATGGGAAGGAAGTGGACTCCACATACTTGATGCTCTTTATGCTCTGAGTGTATGCTGTGTGTGCTCAACCTAGCCTGGACTACTGATGACTCAACATACAGGGTCAGATGAAGACAGTATATTTGGTGCTCAATAAGACCTCAGATGGGGGGAAGGTGATGATGCCAGACAACTGTATAAATGTCTTGTTTGGACCACAGAACCAGACTACACTGGAAATATACAGTTCTAAAGGAGTGTATATTCTCGTACCATGAAGAACACTTGACTTGATATCCAACTTATAGGATTTGGGAGGATCGAATTAATTTACTATACATAGAGCACTACAAACAGCGTTTAGAATATTGTCAACACTCTACAAGTATTAATTACTGCACTACTGGTATTTGTCTTCATTGCTATTATTTCACTAAAGGCTTATTGTTTAAAATTGTAGTTCAGATTGTCCTTTTCCTACCAATCTGAATTAGAGGACTTCTACAGTTTGATACAATGTAAAAATATTAAAAGGAATAAATGTTTAAAAGTTTATTTATATTGCCTCTTCAAAAGGGATGACATAGATAGGCTATCAACTTTTAAAGGAAGATATCTGATTTAATTAACCATGTTAGCATCTAGCTGCAAAATCGAAACTGAATAATTTATACTTTAACATTTACTTTAAGTATGTTAGCAATTAATTTTTTTCCAAATAAATAACATGAGAAAATAAGAAACAGAGTAAGTAAACATTTCATACCTTAAATGAAGCCACAGCTTTATCATAAGCTTTTATCAATGCTGTATCATCCCAAATGTCAGAATCATCACTCTGGAGAGGGCAAGGAATAAAAACAATTCATATTCAAATAGGTTTCGTCAAAAAAAATCACATGTTAGTTTGAGACCAGCTTGAGCAAGACCTCTGCCTCTACTAAAAATAGAAAAATTAGCTAGGCAGTGTGGCGTTGCCTACAGTCCCAGCTACTCAGGAGGCTGAGGCAGGAGGATTGCCTGAGCCCAGGAGTTTGAGGTTGCTGTGAGCTATGATGATGCCACTGCACTCTACCTGGGGCGACAGAGCAAGACTCAGCCGTCTCAGAAAAAAAACCCCAAAACCCCCATGTATTAGTGCCATGAGCCATCTTAATCCAGATATAACCAAATTACACTAAATTAAAAATATTTAGGTATTATAAACCCTAAATAAAGTTACAGGAAGCCCGTCTGCCTAGAGGTTATGTGACTTTACCCTCAAAACTGGACAAATGTAAATGTTCTAAGAGGTATGTCATAAAGTGAATGCCCCCACAATTTAATTCCTATCCATCAACTATGAGTAGATTTGTTCAAGGCTAACTACATTTCAACTAAGATAAGGTTTAGTTTGGCAGGGTGGGAAAAACATCTGGCCATCAACTTGACTTTATCTAGACTATGGTAATGCCATTCTTTTGTTTTTGTTTTTTTGAGAGAGAGTCTCACTCTGTTGCCCTGGCTAGAGTGAGTGCCGTGGCGTTAGCCTAGCTCACAGCAACCTCACACTCCTGGGCTCAAGTGATCCTACTGCCTCAGCCTCCCGAGTAGCTGGGATTACCTGCATGCGCCACCATCCCCGCTAATTTTTTTCTATATATTTTTAGTTGTCCGATTAATTTCTTTCTATTTTTAGTAGAGACGGGGTCTCGCTCCTGCTCAGGCTGGTCTCGAACTCCTGAGCTCAAACAATCCGCCCGCCTCGGCCTCCCAGAGTGCTAGGATTACAGGCGTGAGCCACCGCGCCCCGCGGTAATGCCATTCTAACCATAGACACTGTGGTCCAACGAATATTTTTTCTCTTGACATTATAATGTGTGTAGATTATAAGGATACAAACTGTTAATAATGACTAATCAATTAATTTTCATTTTCTTTTATTTTTTATTTTTATTTTTTTTTATTCTTATATTCTTCCACTTGGGTTAAGGCTTGTCCAAATTTTCATTTTAAATGGGAGTGATATTGAGTAGTCTGGAAAAGACCTAAAAATCATTATTTCTATTTTTGTATAAATTTAATTTAAATAGAAATATTTTTGAGCACCCAGTATCTACTAAGCATTGTGCACATCATTAAGAGGTATATGAAAATATGCTACCTGCTCTAAAGAGATATGTAACTAGGGATTTAACACATATTGTCACACACACACAAAATTATAAAATACTAAAATGTGAAATATAAACAATGAATGTTTTAAGTAAAAAGGAAAGAAATTAATGCATACTGAACGATCATATGGAGGAAACAGGCCTACGAAATAAAAACCAACAGGATTTGAACAGGTAGAGAAGAAAATAGAAAGCATTCCAGGAAAAAGCACGAGCCCCCTCCCCCTCAAAAAAAGCATGGAAGCAAAAATAAACACATTGACTATAAGATTTCACTTATATGAGGTATCCAAAATAGTCTAATTTATAGAAATAGAAAGAATGGGCCGGGAATGGTGGCTCATGCCTGTAATTCTAGCACTCTGGAAGGCTGAGGCAGGAGGATCGCTTGAGATCAGGAGTTTGAGACCAGCTTGGACCAGCCTAAGCAAGAGCGAGACACCATCTTTACTAAAAATAGAAAAAATTAGCTGGGCATGGTGGTTTGCACCTGTAGTCCTAGCTAGTAGGGAGGCTGAGGCAGGAGGACTGCTTGAGCCCAGGAGTCTGAGGTTGCTGTGAGCTAGGCTGATGCCATGGCACTTTAACTCAGGTGACAGAGCAAGACTCTTGTCTCAAGAAAAAAAAAAAAGAAAAAAAAGAAGAAGAAGAAGAAAGAAAGAATTACCAGGGGATTACCAGGGGAAATAGGGAATTGTTGTTTAATGGGTAGAGCTGCAGTTTGCAAGATAAAAAAGTTCTGGAAATCTGTTGCACAACAATATGAACATGCTACTGAACTATATACTTAAAAATGGCTAAGATGATACATTTTGTTATGTGATTTTCTTTTAACACAATTAAAAATAAAAATATAACACATTGTATTTGAGGGATCAGTGAGACAAGTCCAACTAGAATCGAATTCTTACTATAGAGCAATTGGAGATAGTTTGAATACATCATGTTGGGTGATGAGAAGACAGGTTACAAAACACCTTTAACCAGTATCTTGGATTCGGTATAGTAGTAGTAAATCAATGAATTCCAAAAAAGTTTGCCATAAAATTCATTTAGTTGTAATACTACTTTTTGTCATTTTCCTGTTAATCTCCATTATATATAGAGAAGTATGTTCCAATGTAAAACTGTCAATCTCTATATGATAAAAAGTCTTCATTAAGTTGTTTTGCAGATAAAGAAAGTAATCACAAAGACGTTAACTGACTTGTTAAAGGTTACACTGCTATTTGCAAGGGGAGCAGCTGTTCCTTGGATATTCGGCAAAAGGAAGAAGAGCCAACGGTAGAAATTAAGCGCCTTGAGGAAATAAGGAAATCACAAAATCAGAAGACATTAATTCTTCTGCAACTGCAAAAGTCACTACTGATAAAGGAAACTGTATTCCACCATATCAACAGAAGAAGGCACTCTTAAACTAAGACATCTAGACATACAGCAACCCAAACTCCTCATATCTCAACTGTCATTGCCAGACTGGGAAACGAGACATTTTAAAATGAACAGAAGGGTCAGGCATGGTGGCTCACATCTGTAATCCCAGCACTTTTGGAAACCAAGGCGGGAGGATCACTTGAGACCAGGAGTTCCAGATCAGCCTGAGCAACACAGTGAGACCCTCTCCTACAACAAATAGCCAGGTGTGGTGGCACATGCCTGTAGTCCTAACTACTCTGGAGGCTGAGGTGGAGGATCATTTGAGCCAGGAGTTTAAGGTTATAGTGAGCTATGATGGTGCCAATGCACTCCAGCCTGGGAGACAGAGGGAGACCCTGTCTTTAAAGAAAAAAAAAATGTATTTA